CAGAGCTAAAACAGGCTCTACAGAACATTTAGCCTAAGGCCCTGTTTTGATGAGAAAGTAAACAGCTGGCGGAAGGTGCTGAAGGATCACTGGCTGCAAGCTAGCTTAAACAGAGAGAGGCACAGGGACTCAGGACACCCATCTCCAAGGCCAAGCCAAGCCGACCCAGTGGCAGGCAAAGGCAGGAAGCCACCCAGGACTAAGACTTCATGTCTGAGGTGCTTCCTGCAAAGCAGCAGTCCAAGAGGGTGGCCAAGAGATGGGGTCTGGAGCCCAACTCTCAGGGGCTCTATAACCTGGGGCAAGTTACTTCACCCCTATGTGCTCCAGCTGCCTCATCTATAAAAGAGAAGTTATAATATTTACCTTATCATGGTATTTAGAGAAATCAATCTGTGACTATATGTAGAGCACTTAAAACAGGGACTGGCACTCAAGAAGGATCAGGTACTCTCCTCTAATTAGCCTCTCCCTCTCACCATACCATCCCTTCCCACAGGCACGGTGCCCATCGTGGGCCCATGACAACCAGCCTGGATTGTTATCTCATAGGTCAGGCCCACGACCCACCTTTGATCCCATGGGTCCCTTAGTTCATATTCTCAAGAGAAAAAAAGCTGTTTGGTCAAGCATCCAGCCCTGGTGGGTAGGAGTTACCATGCAATACGAAACACAGCCCTTACGACCGTGGAAGTCAGGTCTGATCCTCCTTGCCAGCTAAGAGGTCAGCAGACTGTAGTTTCACAGGGGCCTCCTGAGTCCAAGACAAAGAACCGCACTACTCACCAGCAACGGCCATACCCACACTTGTGCCAGTCCAGTGAGACCCAATTCTACAGGGCCGTGCACAAGCCAGGGGTTGCTTGACACAAGAGGAAGCCCGAATCTTTCACAACGGGTAGTAAGCTTACCTGACCTTCGCCCTAGAGGGAAGCATTACTCTTGCTGCATGCTTGTACACAAACCCACCCTTTGCTCACTATACAAGCGTCCTTGCAAAGACAGCCGGGAACAAAGGAGGTCAGTTCCTCTGCTCTTGAGATGTAAAGAAACATGAGAGACCTGTCTCACAATAATATCTAAATAAACGGACATATATACTGCGTTCGTGGATTGAAAGATGCAATATTGATAAAATGTCAATTCTCCCCAAATGAAATGTCAATACAACATAATCCCAATAAAAATCTCAACAGGATTTTTTTTGGTAGAAAGTGACAAGCTGATTCTCAATTTATCTGGAAATGAAAAGAACTTAGAAATAGCCAAAACAACTTTGAAAAAATTAGATTAACAGTACCTGACTTTAAGATTTATTATGTGGTACGGTACTGGCATAATGATACAAAAATGGATCCATGGAACAGAACAGTGAGCCCAAAACCACACCCTCACATACACATGATTTTCAACAGAGACGCAGAGGCCATCCAGTGGAGAAAAGAGCCTTCACAACAAACAGCATCACACCAACCAGGCAGCCTTACATAACACAAGAACGGGGACTCCCGCCTCTCGCCGCATGCCAATAGTAATCCAAAATGGATCAGAGACGTGAATGTAAAATGCAGAACTATAGAACTATTAAAGGAAAACAAATTTAAAATATTTGTGATCTTGAGTTTGGCAAAGATTTCTACCTCAAAAGCACAATTCATAAAAGAAAAAGAGTAAGTTAAACTTCATCAAAATCCAGACCCTTGGGGTTCCTGGGGGCTGAGTTTGGTTAAGTGTCCGACTCGATTTCGGCTCAGGTCATGATCTCAGGATCACGAGATTGAGTCCCACGCCCACGTCAGGCTCTGCGCTCAGTGGGGAGTCTGCTTGGGATTCTCTCTCCCTCTGCCCCTCCCCCTGCTCTCACTCTCACTCTCTCACTCTAAAATAATATATAAATAAATCTTTATTAAAAAAAATTAAGAACCTCCAACCTTCTTTGAAGATGCTCTTAAGAAAATGAAAAGAAAAGCCAGAGACCAGGAGAAAATATTTGGATTTGTATCCAGAATACACAAAGAACTCTCGATACTCAATTAAAACAACCCCATTTTTTTAAATGGGCAAAAGATACGAAAAGATACCTTATCAGAGAAGATTCAGGGACAGGAAATGAGCACATGAAAAGATGCTCAGCATCATTAATCATAACAAAAATGCAAATTAAGGCCACAGCAAAAGGTAGCACTACGCCCCATTGGGGTGTCTAAAGTTAAACAGAAAGACCACACAAGCACCAACGAGGATGCACAGCAGCTCAACACTGACGTGCTGCCCCGGGGGTGTGCAAAATGGTAGCATGCAGCTACCACACACCCAGACATTCCACTCCCAGGTATTTACCCAAGAGAAGCGAGAGCATGTGTCCATGCAAAGACATACCAGAATGTTTACAGCAGCTTCATGTATAATAGCCAAATCCTGGAGACAACCCAAAGATCTATCAACACCTGAATAAATAAAGCAATTGTGGTAGACCCACAGCATAGAACACTATTTAGCAATAAAAAGCAGTCAACTATTAGTCCACAATAACATGGATGGATCTCAAAATAATCATGTCGAATGAGAAAAGCTAGGCAAACAGAGTACAAGATATATGATGTCAAGTATATAAATCCGTGGGAAATGAGAACAATTTATAGTGCAGAAAGGGGGTGAATTTGTCTGGGAAGAGGGGAGCAGAGGGGCGGGAGGGAGGGAACACCAACAGCCCAGGTACCTCCTGGAGGTGATGCACACCTTCACTCTCTTCATTGCAGTGATGATTTTACAGGTATATATTTTACATTAAAACTTATCAATCGTTTGCCTTAAATGTGTGCAGTTTATTGTGTATCAATTATAACTGAAAAAAGCTGTTACAAAAAAATAAGCATTCACCACCAAGTAGAACTGAAGCTCAAATAGAGATCTACCTAAATTATGAAAAAATAAGGAAAGTCTGTATTTTGCACACCTAAGTGAAATATGCACCTACTAAATATGTAGCGTTAAAAGTTATGATGAACAAATTGGGACAAAATTTTAGATTAAATTCGTGGTCATTGACCATAACATATTTCTCGGTATGTCTCCTGCGGCAAGGGAAACAAAAGCAAAAATGAACTAGTGGGACTTCATCAAGATAAAAAGCTTCTCAGGGTGTCTAAGTGGCTCAGTCGATTAAGCGTCTGATTCTTGATCTCTGCTCAGGTCTTAATCTCAGGGTTGTGAGTACAAGCTGCATGCTGGGCTCCATATTGAGCATGGAGCCTACTTAAAAAAAAGAGAGAGAGAGAAAAAAGCTTCTGCCCAGCAAAGGAAACCATCAACAAAACTAAAAAGAAACCTACAGAATGGGAGAAGATATTTGCAAGTAACACATCTGATAAAGGGTTAGTATCCAAAATATATAAAGAACAGATATAACTCAACCCAAAACACAAATAATCCAGTTAAAAATGGGCAGAAGACATCAACAGACATTTCTTCAAAGAATACATCCAGATGGCCAATAGACACATAAAAAGATGCTCAACATCACTCATTATCAGGGAAATGCAATGAGAGATAACCCCACACCTGTCAGAATGGCTAAAATCAACAACACAAGCAGTAATAAGTGTTGGCAAGGATGTGGAGAAAAAGGAACCCTCATGCACTGCTGGTAGGAATGCAAACTGTAGAGCCGCTCTAGAAAACAGTATGCACGCACCTCCAAAAGTTAAAAATAGAACTCTTCTACGATCCAGCAATTGCACTACTGGGTATTTACCCAAAGGATATGAAATCACTAATCTGAAAAGATATGTGCACTCCTACATTTATAGCAGCATTTTCTACAATAGCAAAATTATGGAAACAGCCCAAGTGTCCATCCACTGATGAATGGATAAAGAAGAGGCGGTATATACAATGGAATATTACTAGACCATAAAATAGAATGAAATCTTACCATTTGCAACAACATGGATGGAGCTAGAGAGTATCATGCTAAGTGAAATAAGTTAGAGAAAGACAGTATCACATGATTTCACTCATGTGGAATTTAAGAAACAAAACAAACAAGCAAATGGGGGAAAAAAAGAGACAAACCAAGAAACAGACTCAAACTACAGAGAACAAACTGATGGTCACCAGAGGGGAGGTGGGCAGAGAACAAACTGATGGTCACCAGAGGGGAGGTGGGCAGGGGATGGGCGGGCGGTAAGAGGACACTTATCTTGATGAGCCCTGAGTAATACAGAGAAGTGTTAAATCACCACATTATACATCTAAAATTAACACAGTACTGTGTATTAACTACACTGAAATAAACATTTTCAAAAATAAAATATAAATTAAGTAATTAATTAGTGGTCAGAGAGAAAAAGAAACCGTAGAGAGAGCTTTTATTTCAGAGAAAACAAAAACTCCACATACACATAACACATATGTAACTTCAGAGCTGTAATCTCCGATTTCTTTTTCCCCCTTTCCTTCACCTGACATTCAGAGCCCTGGACAACACACAGCGCTGTTTTGTCCACAGACAAAGGGACAGGTGAATGCCCTTTACCAGCTGCTTTATACCATAATCTTTCTTTGGGGCGCCTGGGTGGCTCAGTCAGTGAAGCGTCTGCCTTCGGCTCAGGGTCATGATCCCAGGGTCCTGGATCGAGTTCCCCAACATGTCCCTGCTCAGCAGGGAGTCTGCTTCTCCCTCTGCCCCTCCCCCTGCTTGTGCTCTCTCTCTCTCTAATAAATAAAAGTCTTCAAAAAAAATAAAAATAAATGTTTAAAGATAGTTTTTCTTTGTGTCACAGAATCATAACTACACCAAAAGCACTACTTCAGAAGCAGAACTAGAAATAACCTAGCACACCACTGAGTTCTCTATAGTTTGAAATCTTTTTTTAAAGAATGCTAACACCTTAGGACAATCAATCCCAATATTTCTAATACTTCACACCTTCCTCTGGCCAGAGAGAAACAGGTGCACGCGCGGTACAAGAACATTTACAGGGAAGCCCTCTCCTCACCACTCAAAAGCCACCACAGCAGCGGCATGAATCCCGGGCTCCCGCTGATGTACTTCAAGCCTTTCAGGTTGATGCTCACGTTGTACAGGGACATCAGCAGTAACCTGAAATGGAAAGAAGACAGGTTGAGATGATGCCCCACGTGAAGTCTCACCCTAAATACTCCTGCTGATAAACGGGGCTTTCCTACGCTGCAGATGCCCCATTCTGCAGGCTGGGTGACAGGCACTGTAGGCAGGACATACGTGAAATAATACCGCTCCCTGGGATGTTACAGGAGAACTGGAAGCTCCAGCAACAGGCCCACAGAAAACCACTTTGTAGAAGTGCACATAATCAAGGGACACAACTGCACAGAGGGTCCCACAGTAAACCTCAAGACCAAATTTACCGAGGCCACTCCTACATTTACACACAGGCAGCCCTCGATTCGTAAGTATACTGTGCTCTAACAGTTCAATTCAGCTGCTCACAATTTAATCCTATCTTTTCATTCAATGAACATTATCCATGATGTCTGGGTAGCCGGCACAGGCCATGTAAGTGTGTTTAATCCACAGCATCAGGGACGAAGAGCACCACAACCCCAACCATCTCTAACAAGCAACCAGACAGTATCCAGAGTTAAACAGGATCTTACAAGCTATCTTCCGAAATGACCACAACTTTACAGTAAGTTAGAGTCTAATGAAAACTGAAAAACTATCGAACAAGGTTTCTAACATTACTGCAGAATACAGAGATCCCCAAACTTCACAGTGCAAAGCAATTTTTTTTTAAAAAAAGGCTACACAAAGATTTTGCAAACCCCTGAAAGAATGGAAGAGCTTGCAAGAAGTGAAGGGAAAACATTCCTGATCAAGAACTTGGTGAGAGCGCAAATTCAGGAAGACATGCGCTAAACAGGATAGATTCCCAAAGCACACAGCTTCAGTGCAACAGAGTGGCTTTGTGCAGAGGGACAGAAGGAAAAGCCTCAGACCAACACAAGACAGAGACTCAGGTCACAGACCCCCACACAAAGCTAGGTCAGAGTAAGCTTTCAAGCTTGGCATGAATCCATACTTTCTGTATGGCCTGAAAATCGACAAGCCATGTAATTTTAATACAAAGGAGAGCTGGGAGGGGCATGTGGGTGGCTCAGTCGGTTAAGGTCTGACTCTTGGTTTCAGCTCAGGTCATGATCTCAGGGTCGTGAGATCGAGCCCCGAGTTGAGCTCACACACTAGGCATGGAGCCTGCTCAAGATTCTCCCTCCCCCTATCCCTCCCAACCTCTCTCTTTTTTTAAAAAAAAAAAAAAAGGAGAGGTGGGAAGGAGCTCCTCCAACTGCCTGGCCAAAGTGAACACCCTCTTGAAGGAAAGGACCCTCAATCTGATCTTCAAAGAATTCCCACAAACATAGTACTAACAAATGGGAGTTCACAACAAAAATCACAAAATCATGAAAAACAAGACCCATAATCAACAGCACAAAGAACCAATGAGAACCAAAATTTAAAAAAAGAATTCTCAGATACTAGAAGTATCAATCATAGAAGAGAAAATGGGTATGTTTAGTAGGTACAAATAACATAAAATGAAATTCAAAACACCATCAAGCAGCTACTGAGTATTATAAATGCCCAGCCAATTCAAAGGAGAACCTAGAAGAACTTACAAAAAATGACACTGTAACAATCATACAATGAAAATTCAGGGAAACTGACACAGAGGCAAGAGGTTAAGGACAGGTACCAAACAGAGCAGGAGCAGAGCACAGGTGTGGGAAGGAGGGAGCCCAGACAGGCGGGACTACAGCTGGGGCCACAGCTGGGGTACCACGCCTCTGCAAGGCAGCCACGAAGAGGCCCTGTGGACAGTGGGAGCTGGAAAACCAAGGATGGAGCACTGATTCTGTTGATCACCTTGGGGGAGCCAGGGTTTAAGAGTCCGGTAAAGCTAAATACCTGCTAGGACAAACACTCAATCTCTTCAGGAAAAGATAACAGAATCCAGAGTCAATGATGATCTGCAACATCCAGTGTATGATGGAATAGTTAACCAGCAGGGCGCACTAGGGTGCAGAGAGTAAAGCACTTGCTTTGGGGGCAAATGTAAGGGGCGCCAAAATGTTCAGTAGCCAGGATCTTTTAAATGTATTGTAAAGCAAATTTTTAAAAAATCAAAAGTACTGCAAAAATCCCATAATAAGCAATACATCAAAATTTTAAATAAAGATGGGATCAGTAACAGGGTCATGCCAAGGGCACCTGGGTGGCAACTGGGTGGTGGTTAAGCGACTGCCTTCGGCTCAGGTCATGATCCTGGAGTCCCTGGATCGAGTCCCACATCGGGCTCCCTGCTCGGCAGGGAGTCTGCTTCTCCCTCTGACCCTCCCCCCCCCATGTGCTTTCTCTCTCTCTCATTCTCTCTCTCAAATAAATAAATAAAATCTTAAAAAAAAAAAAGTGTCATGCCAAGACACATTGGAGCCTGAGGCAAAAAAAAATCAATAATAGTGATTCAGTCCATTAACAAGGGCCTGATTAAATAAACTGTGGTACATGCATACATGCATGCCACAGAAAGTGTTTGTTACAGTTTTCTGTTGAAATAGCTGGTTTCTTTTTTTTTTTAAGATTTTATTTATTTATTTGACAGAGAGAGACACAGCGAGAGAGGGAACACAAGCAGGCGGAGTGGCAGAGGGAGAAGCAGGCTTCCTGCTGAGCAGGGAGCCCGATGCAGGGCTTGATCCCAGGACCCTGAGATCATGCCCTGAGCCGAAGGCAGACGCTTAATGACTGAGCCACCCAGGTGCCCCGAAATAGCTGGTTTCTAAGTGCCACGGCTTATTCAGGACCTGGGACACAGTAAGCACTCAGTTTAAATATGGAAAGTGAACCAATCCCCAGTGACTGAAAGTCTCAGCATGTAGAGACAGTCTTTCTCGCCCCGTATTTTGATGGGCATTTTCAAAGTAAGGCAATGCTACCAGGTTCAAGAAGACAACACTAGACTAGCACCCTCCAGGGCAGTGATGCCCACTTCTCAGACTATAATCCTAGGCTTCCTCACAGGCCACAAAATAGCCAAACTTGCCAATCCTTTCCAGTTTCCCTGACAATTTTTACACATATCAAAAATCTATTCACTAGTAATCTATTTCATGAGTTATTAAGAGCAGTTCAAAGGTGGTATTCATGAGGAAAATTCAGCCCTTTAACTACAGCTTTCTGAGGCCTCCAATCCAGGATTTAAGAGAGAAGTTCTTACTTCTGATCCCCAACTCAGGGAGGTGGAGTCCTTAAAATGCAACGTGTTGTCCACGCGGCTTCATGCTACAAGAGCAGGGCTGAGCCCCCGCTGCAGAGACCAGCTGACCCCCAGAGCCTGAAACAGTCTCTATCTGGCCCTTTACAGAAAAGGTTGGCAACCCCTGCCTTCAAAAATGAAAATAAAGTTAGCTAATCTTCTTCAAAACTTAAAAGGTGAAATTAACATTTGAGTGATAACTGGAATATGGGGCAAATTCCAGGAAATACATCCAGTTGAAATTCTTCACTGACTGCCACTTAACTTTAAGGGGCAAAAATGACTCATAAAATTGATAAATGTCTTTAAAATTCATATTTGGTCAAAGTCAGCCACTGTTAAGAAGCTAGGATGGAACAAAGGTTATTGCAATGACCGCAGAACAACCTGAGACCGCGTGTCATCGCCAGGCTACATCTCACAGAAAACCAGAGATGGCTCCGAGGTCGCAGAGGACTTAGCAAATAGCAAATCCAGAAAACTCTCTATTTCTTATTTGAGTGCTTTCTGTTCCAGGATTTCTATCCTAACCACAAATATTTTGTAAATAATTTATCAAGTTTCCAATTGCAAAGTCAAGAGAAACTGCACATTCAATCCACTCTTCTGGCACAGAGTTAAAGTAAATGTCATTTCCCAAACTACTGGAGTACTAGGAGTCAGACTTTTTCTTCCAGTGACCAAAAAGGTAGGCAAATTCTGCTTCCTCCCATGAAGCTAAGCAGAAGATTTGTTATAAACGGATTTACGGGCTCCAAAAGGCACCTTGCCAGGCTCTGCGACCTTGAGCATTGCAGATACGTCCAACATTGACAATGAAAGGGCAGAAAGCAAGGCTAACATAAAGATTCCAGCAAACCTGAAATGCTACAAAAGCAACACAAGAAACTCTCTTTCAAGGAAAAGGACACTGTCTTCACCTAGCTGTAGCAGGCCTGGGGCTGATTGGATTGGCCTGGTGAGAAGTCAGAACGCTGTCCTGATGCTCTGACCGACAAAGCTGAGTCATGCTACTGAACTCTTGTATTCATCTTGAAAGAAATTACAACTGGAAGCAACAAAGAACAAACACACCTGGTACTTCAAAACAAACGAGCCATGAAAATAAACAAAGAGGCATTAATTGTGATGTCCACCCTCCAGAAACAAAAGCTACCAACCGGTCATCTAGATGAAAATATAAAGTAGCCAAATTACCACCATCAAGTAATGCTAAGGAACAATGAGCAATAAAATTCTTAAAAAAGACTGTATATGTCATTTGAGAGAGAAGCAAATAGTAGAGCAATACAACCAGACATTTCAGACCAAATGATGGGCAGAACCTGGCAGTTAGAGGCCTACCAATTTTTTAAATATTTATTTATTTGAGAGAGAGAAAGAGTGAGCAAGCACATGTGCAGGGGCAGAGGGAGAGGGACAAAGAATCCTAAGTGGACTCCATGCTGAGCATGGAGCCCAACATGGGGCTCAATCCCAAGACCCTGAGATCATGACCTGAACCGAAATCAGGAATCAGACGCTTAACAGACTGACCCACCCAGGCATCCCTTTTTTTGAAATTTAATTGAGCGTTTACTATGGGCCAATTATAGGAGCAAGTGCCTGTCCTACTAAATTTTAAGTTTTTATTTAAATTCGTTAGTTAACATACAGTGTAATATTAGTTTCAGGTGTACGATACAGGGATTCAATGTTTCTGTACATCACCAGGTTCTCATCAGGGCAAGTGCCCCCCTGACTCCCCATCACCCTATTTCCCCTATCCTCCTGCCCACCTCCCCTCCATCAGTGTGTTCTCTAGAGT